TTCTGTCTTGAGGTGGAAGCTAATAAATGCAACAGAACTGTATTTGCACTGTCTCGTGGAGCTCTTTGGGCTGAACCTGACAGTAACCCAGCCACAGTCAAAGTAATCTAGTCTGCTATCAAAGTTAGACAATTAGCTTGATAATATAGTTTGATGTTTGATGCTGCTAGACTACTTCATTCTTCCAAATCTTGTAATATCTTAAATTTACTCCTCAATCTTTTATTGGACCATATAAAGCTACTTATTTTTCTCTGCCAGTAATTTAGTATCCGATCTTTAATTTTTATTGGAGTCTTTTAAAACAGAAAGCTAAGCCTTGGGAGAATGTTCATTTTTACAGTTGCAATTCTTCTTAAACAAGACTATTTTAACTTTCTACATCTTACCATATCTGCCATTATATTTTTTCCAAATCAGCTAATAATTGTTTTTTAAAAGATCTTTATTATTCCTTAGTAATAATAGTAAATTATGACTCAAGTAAGTTCCCAGGTATTTAATCTTTATAGCAGTAATATTGAAGCCCACTGCTTTTCTTCTTCAGATAAGTTCCATTTCAGTTATTTTTAATTTGATATCTTCATATTGGACCATACTGCTGTATGGCTCTATTATCAATTTTAAAGAGTCCTTTAGTTGAGTAAACATAAGTAGAATATCATCAGCATATAATTTAAATTTCTGTTCTCAGTTTGCTGATTTGTTTCCTGGAAATATATTTGTGCATGTATGCATGTGTCCACATATGTATATATACATGTGTGTATACATGTGTGTGTGTGTGTGTGTATGCATGTGTGTATGTATGTATATGTATATAAAATCATCCCAGTGGCCAACTTTATGCAGGCTGGATAGCAGCCAGCAGGATTGTCAATGTAGTCAGGAAATTCAAGCAACACAAATTGTATCATTATTTTTGTTGCTGTTGATTTTGTTTACATTTGTTTCTTTCTTTTACCTTCATTTATTGGCTTTCCTTTGCAAGTTAGGTGGCAGCGATCCTAGCACTCTACCCCCAAATTACTCTAGCCAGGCTAAGGCAACAGCATCACAGACATAAATGCAGCTTAAATACAGCCATTCAAACGTTTGTTCTAAGTATGAATAAAGCCTGCTTTCAACTGAACTTCATAGAGATCTCTTAGAATGTATTGTTCTATGCCCAGAACACTCAAAACAGCTTGAAATATATTAGTAGTACATTCATAATCAGTTATGGAAATAATATCTTCAGCTATAAATAGCATGCATATATGAATTCATGACAAAATAGGGTTGCAGAGAACCCCTGGCCCCGCAGATGCCAGCATACTACAATATCAGGGATACTAGGAATTGTAGTTCAGCAACATCTGGATGGACACAGCTCACTGTTCTATTTTAGAAATTTACCTTCAGCTGTGACTAGCTATGATAATTAATGGAATATCAGAGTGAATCTGTCTCTGACAGCTGGTTTTAGATAGAAAACAACATAGAAAATAATGATGTGTCCACATTTTTCTTATGGAAGGACTTGTATGGTTCAGTTAGAAATAAGCTGCTGAGCTAAATAGTTCCCTGTAATAATGCAGAAAGGATCTTATTTCCCAAAACAGTCTCCAAGAAATGAAATAAAATAAGGAGAGAAAAATCAGTTTATAGCCAATGAATATACAATTATATGATCTAGCTTACTACTCCATCTTTATTATACTGCATAATAAATGTGTTAATGTTTACCAAAAGTAATTTAGCATATATTAAACAAATGGAAAATTATTTAATGAATGTGGAAACTATATCTGCAAACTACAAAAACATTACATATTTCAGGAAAAAAGAAATACCTTTCGCACAGAAGCTAATCGATTCATCATCAAAGACTCTTCTCTGTCATCATCATCATCTAAGTCGAGCATAGGAATACCAAAGCTATCCAAAATGCTGCAGCACCTTGTGTTTTCATCTCTGGGATCAAAGGGGTCTACAATTATGGGTTCAGTTCCTTTGATTTCACAACGACAAAAAGGACATCCCTGCCCATCAGATTCCTGAATTATGAAAAACAAAAATGTTTAATTGTTGAGAACTATTTAGCATTATTTTGCTACATAGGGGGATCTTAAGGTAATGAAAACCAGATTAATAGTACTTTGCAAAACACGCACATGCGCAGACACAAACACATGCATGTATTTATATGTACCAAGGAAACTAAAAAAATCAAATGAATATCAGTGCCAGCAATTTTCTGTTACGTACCATGTTGGGGAAGACTAAGGGCAGTTGGACAGACTACCACTTTTTCTTATCTTCAGCATATTTTACATGAATAAGATAAAGTCATGCCTTTTCATCAATTTTAGTACATCTCATTTACATTGAGAAATTGGTAATCTTATGAAACAGGTAGATTGTAGCAACTCATCAAAAGTTACCAAGTGAATTTCATAGCTGAATGAGGGTGCAAACCTAGATCTTCTTTGTTGAATGATCACATCACAGTGGCTTTATAACCAATATTGTTTTATAAATGATTAAACTCATTTGATTTTCAGAACAGCAGAACTACAGCTAATATAGTGAAAAGTTTGGGGGTTAGAAGTATAATCTTTTATATTATTAAGGACTAAGCTGAGGTCAAATTCTAAAATCTCAAATCAGAATAGTCATTGTCCATCCTTCTTATGTATTCATACCATCACTCTAAATACATAAATTATATACTTTTATATTTTAAATATATAAATTATGTTGTTGTTTTTTTTTTTGGGTCTGCACTCAGTCATTACTGACCCTGCAGTGACTGCTTTGGACGAGTCCTTTGCAGTTTTCAAGGCAATTG